ATGGAACACTGAAAATAATTTAATCAAATATATTTTATACTTCGTTCGAATATATAGATTATACTTCAATCAAGTGTGTTATTCTCCTTATTTATTTATTAATGTTATTATTATTACGAGATCTACTGTGCACTCCGTGCGGTGAATTCGAATTTCGATTTCGGATTCGATTCGACCAATAGTCTTGCGAGTTTCGACTCAAGCGAATTTCATTTACGTATCTCTGCTTTCATGATAAGGATGATAAGGATAACACATTTTAGATTTGATCAATTTTAAATTAAAAAAAAAAATTGATCAATTATATTCTTATATTATCAATTATTTACAAAAGGCGAATATCGAATTGATTTGGATTATATTTTATTATTTGGATATCGGATTGTTACGCGAAAAATATCGGAATTTATTGAACAATAAAGGGAATGAATTTTGGTGAGATATCGGGGGATGACCCAGTTTTTGAGTGCAAGGCCGATGACGTGGGTGGGAAGCTAGAGGGAGCATTGACCCCAAAGATGCCAGGGTACAGAGTATCAGGGCTCAATATTGGCAAACTGGGGCAATCCCTCATCCCCACGTTGATCCGAAGGTCCTGGACTTTGGACAATTTAATTGATGAGAATGAAACACGAAAGCCGAGTTTAAACAAATTCCATCGAAATTCGAGTTATTCCAATTATTTCCATTCAATGTGACAATAAAATCGGTGTCTCCTCGATTACTCGGTTTCCTGTCTCCTCATTAATCAGATATTAAAATCCGTGGGAATGTAAATGTTTCCTCGATTAAAATAGTCATCAATGGCCAGGAAGCGTCAGTAGTTTTCCGCTCTGTTAATTCCCTCCAAGACTGTATTAATTATGGTCAAACCGAGTTGATTCGCTGTAGAAATCACCTGGGAACTCGAAATTCTCAAGAGAAAAAATGTGTCCGGGTTTGTTTGGCGCAGGGCGTTTATTTCCGTTGTATTTTTACACGCGCACTTCCGGTTTTGCAAGGACGGGGGAAGCATTTTTATTTCCGGTTGGGGATGTCTTCGGGGTTGTTCCTGACGCGTTCAAAGGGACACCAAGACTGTAAACCAGACAATAGACAAATTCTCGGTGTGTGACAAACGGCTCAGGTACTAGGCCTCATGTTTCCGGACACCTGCTGGGATGGCACATTCCTACTTCCGGTCCCTTATTTTCCTTTTTTTTTTTCTATTTCACTTCTTTCATTGGGAGTTGACGAATTCTATGGATTTTGGTGATTAGGTTATCAGTCCTTTTTTTTTCACTCAATATTCGGACTTTTATTTTTTAATGTTGTATTTATTGGCGGGAAAACAATGTGAAAGGACAGTGCGTTTAAAGTTTTTTTATTTCCTACTTCCGGTTCGATATTTAACGTTTCTATGAATTTTATCAAATTATTTGATCAGTACTATTTCTTTGGCTTATTTTTAGTTTATTTTTATTTTTTTGATAACTTCCATTGGTGAGAGAACAATTTAATCGGAAAAACTATTTTTTTTTTTCTTGTTTTTTCGTTGGAAACAAAGGGATTCGACGAATGCTATTAGATTAAAGTCATTGAATTTAATTTGATTTCGAGAACAAATTTGAAGTTAGGAACAAAAATTGAAAACAAATCCAATACAAGAAAATTTAATTTACAACTTATTTTCTACTTATTTTATTTACAACTTATATCTACTCAATTAAAGAACGAAACAGATTGAATTGCCTAGCGAGGGATGATACTGTCAATGGGGGTAAAAATTTAATGAATTCGGAGAAGTTAATTTGACAAACAACAATTAATTAACAGTTCACCCCAAGTGAAACCCTGTTTTTATATTTTTTTCTCATTCCAAAAAGAGAAAAAAATAAAAAATACGAGTCGAGGGATGACAAAATTGTTAACAGCGATGTAAATTTAATGAATTCGGACTGTAAATTTAACAAATAAAAACTGAAAAATAATCCAAACTAAACAGAAAACGTTGTTTATTCAATTCTATTCGAGGGGATGATAAAACACCGAATAGGAATTAAAATTGAATGAACTTAAGACCCAAGTTTTCCAAACCCCAGCTAATTACCAGAAAATACAAGTGAAGTTGTGTTTTTCTACGTGTTCTCAATTTTCAATTAAAAAAAACAAAGAATAAAAAATGCTGGTCGAGGGATGATAAAATTCTTAACAAGACTGTAAATCCAATGAATTAAAAAAATGTGAGAATTTAAAAATAATCTAATCTAGAAGGGAAATGTGTTTTTCATTTTTTTATTCAATGAAGAGAGAAAAGGGAGGAGAAATGCTGGTGCAGCGTAGATGAATCGAGGAATAACCACCCCGGGGATGAGAAAATGGTCAATGGGGGGGTGGTTTGCCGTTCCAATGACCCAGTTTGTTTCCCCGAGGGTTGAATGAACGCATATCTGCTATGACGTCATTGCTGTCCCACTTTCGAGAATTTTCCTGTAGTGCAACCTCGCTCGCCTTCCCCTCCACCCCTTGGCTTTTCCATTTCCATTTTTTTTTTTATCGCAACCCCGACCATCTCCTGGCGTACATTCGCTTTTCCTCGGTGAGCTGTATGGCACAGCCAGCAGACGTCATTTCAGATTCCCCCTCCGCCCGATCTGACCCCATCCGAACAGCCTCGACCTGCATTCGAACCCATGAATGAAATTCACCTGTCGACCTCCGTGTCACACGTATCATCGAGAAAATTCCTCCTATTTTCAGCCACCACGAGAATTTCAAGGACCATCCAGCGGTTCATTAATAGGAAATTGTAGCTATAGACAATTACCAAATGTACACGGAAACTAAATTCAATGGGATGTTCAAGTATATTTAATATTTAATACTTGGTTCAGGTATCAGGTTCAGGTCCAGCCAAATTGCATTAATTAAATCTTTAATGAAAACTATTTAAAATTAATAGACAATTAATATTGGTAGTATAATAATGTTAATTGTTTGAAGACGTTTTGTACGTGATCCTAGTATATTCGATGTTTAATTATTATCGAGGAATAATTAATTCTTCCACCATTTTAATACGTAATAATCGATATACTAGGATCGACTATAAAATACACTTGGTTTAATTATCGTGAAAATATCTGTGTGAAAAATAGGAGACATCAAAATTTTCTGGTAGCCCTAGTGGTTCAATTGAGAAATTAATTAAATCGAGATAACAAAATGGAATTAAAAAAAAACTTGCAATTAACAAATACTGAAATTAAATTGTTGTAATGAACAAAAAGGAGGAATACCTGTCCGCCAAATGAGTAATTTTATTCAAATTTACATTAACAAAATTCACCTGTCGACGGAAAACCGATTCCCGTCGAAGCTCAATTAATTAAATTAATTTCGAGAAGTTTAATTAATAAAACGATTCAATAAAGTTAAAAAAAATATAAAGAGTAATGATTTTAATAATATTCTTCATTGCAAGGGAGTGCCTCAGTGGAATTTTAATAAGTACAACAGATCTAATTAAAAAAAATCCAAAATACTTGTGTACAGCGTAAAAAAAAACTTCCCTCAAGTAAATAATCTCCATATAAACAAATGTAGAAATAACTGTCTATTCAATTGGTAAAGAAAAATCATCTCTAGTATAAGAGAAAGCTTTTTGAAATGCAACAACAAAAGCTAGAGTATCATCTTTCAGTTGAAGTGGAAAATAGTAAAGCCCTGGGGAGAGTGAATTTTTCCATCGAATTCCATTGTCTCAGGATCAACGAAATCCTAGGTCCATCAGGTCGTGCTGGGAAACCTTTTCCCACTGGAACAATGATGAATTTTCCTTGGGTTGAGCTCCGGAACACTCACAATGCAGAGAAGAGAAAAAAAAATGTAAAAATTTACAGTGGTGAATATCGTCAGACAATTGCGTTCGTTAACCGAAGCTGTTCCTTTGAGTCATCTGACATGGAGACTCTGAATGGAAGAGGAGAATGAGGTACCATGTGGCTTTTGGATAGCTGTAGTAAACGCGTTGACCTTCGGTATATTTGAGAGACGCCCACCAGGAATTTTAGGATACCCTCGAGAAACCGGGGATGCATAAATCTTACCCCCTCTGAACAAAGGGAATATCGCATTACAAAGTCTCTCAGTTTCTATCCCTTCGAGCTCCATAAACTGTAAGAGATCCCGGGCCTTTTCAGCCTCTGGAGGCGCCTGCCAATTACACTTTAGAAAAAAAACAATTCATTTCCCAAGTATCCACTTCGCATTCTAACCAACTATTCAATTATTCAATTATTCAATTATTCAATTATTCTCCTTTAGCAAATCTACGAAAATTTGAACATTCATTGCAACTTCAGTCAGTGGGTCAGATGATTTTTCAATCGTATCAGTTTACGCTCAATTTCAATTAAAAACAATCACTGAATTTTTCACTTATCGTGAAAATTCCACATGATAATTAATAATAACTAATGAATTACAATTAATAATGATAATAATTCAGTGAAAGCATGAATTTGGGTGGTTGCCATCAAAATTGAGCTTCAAATTGAAGTGGATTTTTAGATTGAAAATTTAAGTAAATTATTACTTGATATTTTTTTCAAGAAGAAAATTGAAAGATTCGTCTAAAAAGTCTTTCATGAATGAATTAATGATTGATTTCTCACTCTATGGTTTTCCCCTTTTACGGTAATTTTTTAGAATTGCATTATTCATCAAGAATTTGTTCATAATAATAATTAAATTCTTTTTATATATTTACTACCCCATTAAACTGTGCCTTTTGCTGATAGGATTTTTCCTCTTCAGAGATATTTATATTGCGAGATAAATTGCATAATGAGAGATAATTTCACTGTCAATATCGGCGGGATCAAGGCTGAATCTTCAGGACACGGGGAGATTAAGTTGTTACGTAATAAACCAGAGAGTAAATAACAAGTAAGTAATGTATTTGCGGTAAGTACGCGTTTTTTTTCCTTGTATTTTGGCGCACGGCACCAATTACTCATGATAGAATAGGGAAAAATCTCGTTGCTGTCGCATACGCATACGCACCAGCGGGTACATCACTTTGTTATTTGAAGCTGCATAATTTGTTTATCATTAACAAGTGCCATCATGGAATTTTTGAGCTTCAATCCGAGTACAAAACAGTTAATGCTCGATAGCTGCGCAATTCCCAAGCCCAAGGAAGATGAAGTTCTCATTAAAGTTGCATTCTCTGGAATTTGTGGGACTGATCTCCATATTTTGGAAGTATGTATTCCATATTATTTCAGTTGGCATTCTGGAAATAGTAGAAAATTTAAATGAAAGAAATCAGGAAGAATGTGGGAGAAATAACTGAATCGGAAGAGAGAAATTGGTGAATACATTAGAAGAAATAACTGGGAATTTTTACAACCTTTGGAATAGCTATGAATCCAGAGGAGATAGCGTAATTTTTATGAGATCCTTTTGTGCGGAGCGGACTGAGAGCTATAAAAAAGGTCCTTACAAAAATTTCGCTATCTCCTTGAGATTCCGAGCTATTCATTGAGAATAAAACAATTTTTGCGATTCTTCCCAGAAGGAACGAAGAAGGAATAGATAATAAAACATAAATAGGATAAAAAAAGCCCGAAAATTTACTCAGTAAATTGTCTTTATCGAAATGATACTTTTCTCAAAGTAATTATTGTCTTAGGGATCATTTCCAGCGAAGAAGGACGGTTGTTTAACCCTTGGCCATGAGTTCTCGGGGACTATTGAGGCCCTTGGAGGTGCTGTAAAGACATTGAAAATTGGACAAAAAGTTGCGGTGGATCCGAACAGCGGCTGCAACAAATGCAGCTTCTGTCACAATGGAAAATATCACTTTTGTGAGAATGGAGGAATAAATAACACCATTGGAATATTCAGAAATGGGGGGTGGGCAACTCATGCTGTTGTTCCAGAGACTCAGGTATAATTACCGAAGACAGACAAGTCGTCAGTGGTAATTTGCCAAATGATTCAATAAGGATCTCCACCCCTAGAAGATATTAACATGATCTGTTTTTGGTGCTTCACTGGGATAAATTTTAATCTAACCGATGATTTATGAAGGTCCATTTGCTGCCGGAAGGAGTGGAGATGCCTCAAGCCGCTTTGACTGAACCCCTGTCCTGTCTTGCTCATGGATGGGACTTGATAAATCCAGTAAATGTTGGCTCCAAAGTCCTAATCATCGGGTCTGGCATCATCGGACTTCTCTGGGCGTGTCTTTTGCATCTTCATGGCTTGAGAAAAACTGTCTCAATCAGCGAACCCCAGCCCGGAAGACGAGCAGCTGTCAATAAACTCGGTAATCTGTCGCTTTCCTAATTCATTTTCCATACGTCATTTATTTTAATTATTACTCCGTAACGCGATATGCATTAATTACATAACGGGATAAAATAGTCTCCCAAGGTTTTTTCATTCGCGGGTGAAGAGGTGGAGTGATGCAAGTAGAATTTCAGTTTTGTTAAAGATTAGTGCTCACCAAAATGATTGATTACTCCTAAACTATCGGTTTTAGGATAAAATATCAAAAAACCTTATTCGTCAGAAATTTAATTAGCTACAAAAAAGTCTATTCATGTTTTCACTGTCAGTCCATAATTTACGAGATAAATTGATAATTTACAAAAGGTGCGCATCCGATTATTGCACTTTGCGTCACTTTGTTATTTACTTTTTGAGGGATATCTTTAAATCTACGAGAATTAGTGAAATTTTTGTGGAGAACTTTCTCTGACTCTCATTTCACTCTATAAAATTGCTTCTGGAAAAAATTCCGCTATTTCCCGTAGATTCAGAGAAAACGTGGACTTTACCCTTTGCTTTTTGAGTACTGGATTTGAGAATATTATTTTTTGATTGAAACAGATCTAGATTATGACGTCAATAGCCCTGGGGATCTCAACGGCCAGAGTTTTGATCTCGCAATGGATTGTAGTGGATCAGGTCCAGCAATGGAAGCTGCTGTACCCCTTCTGAGACGTGGGGGACGTCTCTGTGTCTTCGGGGTAGCCAATCCCAATGCCACATTAACTCTAAAACCATTCGAGGTAAAGATATCATTTTAATTCAAGTTTTCTATTCACTGAGAGGAAGATGGAGGTAAAGACCATATTTATTTGAGCGAAGTAAATTATTTCAAGAGATTATAATTTTTCTTCCACTTGTTTTCAGATTTACATGAAGGAATTGCAGGTGTTGGGAGTCAATATAAATCCATTCAGCTTCCCCAAGGGTCTTTCGCTCGTTCAGGCAATGTCAAATCGTTATCTTGTGTTCGATAAATTAGGGATCAAGGTTTTCAGACTGTCTGAATACAAAGAAGCCCTCGAGGCTCTCAAGAAAGGGCAGATCAGTAAAGCAATGTTCAGATGTAATTGAGGTACACCATAAGCAAAATATATTTGTGGAAGAAACAATTTTTATTAGATCAATCGAAAAGCCTCCTGTTATTGTCTCTTGAGCATTACAAAATTTGAAAATCCTTTCGGTAAATTATTCGGTAAAAATTTTAGTAGAAAAGACGGTCAATAAACCTAGTCGACTATTATTAGTTAAGTTGTCATAGCTCTAGATATGTAGTTCTCTTACTAGTGAAAATAGTTGATAACTTTTATCAAATTACAAAGTTATCCGAAAACTCCTACGTTTAGGTGAGTGATACAGAACTGTGCAAAGTGCAGAGTATTTCAAGTACCTTGCATTGAAGTACAAAAAATTAAACTCTGTCGAGTTATTGTACAATTTTCTACAAGCTAATGGCGGCTTTGAGACGAGCCAAATACATTATCTACGATCAAATGGAATAAGAAGACTCACTCAAAAACTTTTGTTGTTTGCATTAATGTCAAAGAATTAAAAATATTGTGTAAAACTTTTTGTAAAATTTGATAAATTTCCTAAAAATCATCCGAATAATCTTCTCACACCATACAATCACATGTAAAGATAAAAATACATAAAAAATATGTATAAAAAAATCTATAAAATGAGATTTTTTCCGATATTAAAACACAAATAGTCATCTCCAAGGGGACAACTAGATTCATTTGTCCTTGGAGATATAATCAATTATTTCCCTTGCTCTAATTATCTATTTGTTTAATTTCTGATCCCTGGAATCGTGCATTCAGTGCCAATCACACTGACCAACGTGCACTTAAATATTTTCATGATTATCTAATGCAACTATTAGAATAAATTCATCATTCCAAATGATGGAAAAACTCCTCATGGATAACTTGCGAAAGCATTCACCTCTCCTCCTAAAAGCTACCCTCAATCCACTTTTTATTTTGAGTAGAAAAGTATCTAATTCTATTTGAACTTCTGAGATTCGATGTCCTGCGCGTCAACGATTGTAGATAATTTTGAATTTAAATTATAGTGTCGTCATGATTAGCGCCAAAAAACCAGGAAGGCTTGCCATCCACGTGGATAATGAGTTGTGATGGCCAGTCGAGCCCAGCAGACCTCGATAATTAATATTTGGTATTAATGTTTCTGGAAAAAAGATTTCGATTAATTCGTTTGGTTCAGCCACATCATTTGCACATTCAGTGACACTGATGAGAGCATTCTGGGTACATATTCTTACCTGATAATTGCTGCTACTATCAACACAAATGCTATCAAAGGTCCGGATGAAACTGGTAATACACCAGCTCCATAATGAGCTTGGCCACAAGCAGGTGGGCATACTGGGATTATTGTTTCTGCGGAAATAAAATGAGGAAATCTAATACATGCGAACTACTAACTTAGGATCAATCTAATGGATCAGTAAGACATCAATAGCGCATTCATTAACTGTACATATACTACAATTATTTTTGAGAATATCCAAGAACTCTGGTAAATATAATTGATAAATTTGATTCACTGTTAATGTTTTTATGCATTTTTGAGGTTTTTTAGGGGTTTCACTCAAAGTTGAAGAAATTCAGGGAAAAATATCTTTGAATTGTCGATCAGGAAATCTAGACGTCCAGATAAAATCATCTTTTTCAAATTCTGAATTAATAATGTCAGTTAAATTTTTAACTACATTTCAAATAGTGGTGAAATCAGAATTGTAATTGAATTATTTTCTCCTCTAATTACATTCATTGTAATTATCTGGGAAATAGCAATTTTTTAAAACAGCACTGCTGAATTTCAGAACGTACTTGGACATTCTTAACCGTTAAATGCAATGTCAGCAATACGAGAAACAATGAACCCCTTACCAAAAAGTTCAACAGTAGTCTCAGCACTTCCCAGTTTGTTAGCTGCCTTGCAGACGTACTGTCCATACTGTCTTTTCTCAATGGTAATGATGCGAATTGTTGTATCGGTGTACTCGTCAGCAGTGGCAAAGTGGGAAATACTGTGGTGTTGATTATTGGACAGCACTATGTCGTCCTTGAGCCAGTTAATAGCAGGTGGTGGATATGCCTCCACGTGACACTCGAGGTCCATATCGTACTGTAGTGCCTGACCTAGACGAGGACGTGGGGCTGTTATAACAGGAGAAAATTCAACCTCGATGTTGATATTTCTCCTAGCACCTCGACCAACTCCATTCTCAGCTACACAGTAGTACGTTCCCCGATGCTCTTTCCGGATTGATGTAATCTTCAGGACATTCCCCCTGTAGAAATTCAACATTCAATCGTCTCTGGTTTTCAATTTCTCGTAATTTTACACATTTATAAATATTCTCAATGAAGTGAAATAATAAACAGATACGCTGACACCTTTTCCAGGATTTTGTGGAGTATATCACGAATTAAGTAATTTAAAGTGACCCCTTAAGATAGGCGTTATGTTTCTGATAAAAATGGTTTCCCACCTATAAATTGAATTTCCAGTGGGTAGAATAGCATTGTTCTCCCTTCGCCAAGAGATTTTCGGACTGGGGAAACCTCCAGCATAGCAGAACAGCTCCACCGCTTCAGTCTCACTCACAACGATTGATCTAGTCGAGTTATCACTGATGTAGGGTGGACGACGCACCTGAAGCTCGACATGGCCTGATATTTTGGACGTCAGGGAGATATATATTTGGCATAGGTACATCCCAGCGTCTGTTTCTTGGATATCTTTTATCTAAATAAAACAAGATGCGATATTAGTATAGTAATGTATACAACAATGACATGACAATAACATTATAACAATTGAATTACGTAAGCCGACTCTTGAATGAGTGTTCTCTTTTCCAAAATATCTCAGAAACTAAGACAGATGCCAAAATTTTTGTGACGACCTTTTTTGCAAACCACAATTACCTCTATAAGAAAGGTTCTAACACGAATTTTATTATCTCGTGTAGTTTGGAAGATATTTCCGAGAAGAACTCACTTAATGAATTGGTTTACTGCCTTTTATCAATTTTTTATATGATTATAATTACCTGGAGAGTGTAAGTGGATGTGGCTTCATCGTAACGCAGTGAAAAACGACTCTCCTTGATTATCAAAGACGTCCTGGAAGACAGAGCAACAGTATCTGTATTTGAATTACTCTTCAACCATAGGACAGGGTATTCCTGGCCATATTGCACTGAGCACTGGAGCTCTACTGTCCCTCCAATGTCCTTTATCTGCTGTTGAGATATATAGGATATCGTTGGAGCCCTCTGACAATAGACTGTCACTAAAAAATAAAGAAGCAATTATTATTCATGGAAAGGACTCCCTATCACCAGGAGGTGCTGTTAAGCCCCTTAAGGTTTCTCTCATTTTTTATTTATCCTCTGGTTATTCTTCAGTTCATTTTTTTTTGGCTGAAGTGACAAAAAATTGATATCACAGAAAGTCGTATTTTTTCTTGGTCACTCCTCAGAATATTTTAAGGTTATGAATCGACATCCTGAGTTGTTGACGACTTAGGTGACCAATCAATGCGAATATGACTCATAAATTAATTGATCAATTAAAGTCCAGCTCGTGAGTTTATGACAAGTCGTACATTTTGAAATTCAATTTTTCATTACTCACCTAATTGGAATGCAATGATAAGAATCAATCGTCCCATCATTTTGACACACCTTGAGTGAATTAAACAACGCCCAAAATACGGATTTCACTCTTCTCCTGTCAATTTTTTGCCCTTTGTTTTTATAATGAATGCAGTCTTCTTACCGAAGATGTTTGCTGTTTGTTATTAATCGGGGGTGAGGAAGGGAGGCGCAATGAGGGTGTGAGGATTTACTTTTGAATGAAGTGAATGGAATAGTAAATGTACTTGTTGTTGAACGAGGCGTGTATGAGCCCAATGTCTTCACAGGTGTTTGTGGGCAATACTGGGCAATTGTTGATTCACTGATAAATATGGCTGGGTCAGACGCTGCAGGCTAGTCAATTGATCAATTTTCAAAATTTCCCACCACTTCCGATTGTTTAATTTCAATAACAACAATAGGTATCATGGATAGTCATGATGGTACGAAAAAAAACAAATTCTGTGGTTTATCCTATTTAACAAATATTTATCATTTGAAAAGTGAACAGACTCCGCAGTACTTCCGGTTATTTAATTTAAACTACTTGCACTATACTTGGACTGTCTAGTTAATTTCCCCTCAATGGTGATTAAAAATTAAATATGACGTATTAATAAATAACATAAATAAATATTGATTAATGAATAATGACGATTTCGCGGTCTCAAAGATTCGGGTCTCGAAATTTCATGCAATCCATTGAATAATGGAGAAGTTATTTATTTTTAGAAAAGGGAAGAATATTGGAAAATTAAATATTCAACTCTGTCATCGTATAATACAGAATGATTGATCGCACCTAAATTTAGCCGCTGTAATCTCTCCCCGAAAGTAAAATATCTTCAAGAAAATGATATTAAAATATTATAAAAAGTTTATTTTATAATTAAATATTATTGAATTTCATAGAGAAGTGGTGGAACAAGACTTTAACTTATTTCTTCGGTGAGTTTCTCCGGAATATCTCGGAAACTAAGGGAGATATACAAATTATTATAATAACCTTTATTGTAATGCTCAATGAACTCTATAAAAAATGTTTTATCAAAAATTCGACTATCTCTTCTGATTTCCGAGATATTCCCGAAAAACTCACAACTAATTTCAATGGACTTTATTCTTTCACCTTTTTACTCTGACCTTTTTCAATTTTATTGAGAGAACGAGGAGAAGAGGAGAATGATTTAAATGACACCTTTTAATTCCATTTTTATCAATTAAATTGAAATACTCTGATCTGATCTCTCCAAAAATAAACAGTTTCTTCTAATTTTATCGTTCTTTAATGGAGAACAAGGGTAATATCACCGGATTAAATGTCACATGTACGATGGTAGAAGTAAAAAAATCCAATTGTCTAAAAATAAAATAGTTCAGTGAGGTAGAAAATCCATATTTCTGAATAATTAATAAACATCAAAGGGCTGCGTCACCCGTGACGGCACCGGTTTCACAGTTTCTCAATTATTTCAACAAGATATCAATTACCAGTGTCAATTAACCCGAAGACCGCAATTACATTCAGCCTCCGGTACTTCCATCTAATTGTTCCTAAATTGGATTTTAATTGACGGGGCAAAAGTAAAACCCCTGAATATCTCCACTCAAAACTCGAAAAAACAAAAATATAAAACAAAGCAACAAAAAAAAAGTTGCTGTCAAATAAATTCTCTCATGACAATTAAATCAATGTAAATATTTGCATTAACAATGTTCATTTTTTTTGGTCAGTAAATTTACTTAGAAATTTGACTAATTACTTTTCTCGGATTATCTCTGACGTGAAATCTGATGCGCAAAGATGAACGAGTTAACAAAGCAAATGTTGACCTAAAAAATAGATCTCATTTTTATGATTAAGTGGATGAAAGGTATGTTGTCACTGAGAGTAACCATAGCAATTTGTCGAAGCGCACGGGGATGATACAAGACAACACGATAAAAAGAGAGAGAAAACCCGGGGTGTTTTACTACCGTATGTGGCATACAAGATATACACTATTGTCTGAATGGTCAACATTACCTTTACCGAGAACCCGAATTGTCCAGTCGTAATAGTGGTATGACAACGGAGCGACGAGAACGTATCAATCGCAAGTGTTTGTTTTCACCTTCTGATACCTCCGGCGAAAACAATCACCAAATAAAAATTGCAGTTTGCCTTATCAACATCATAATAGAAGAAAAAAAGTTGTTGAAATATTCTCCAGAAATTAAAGAGAAATCCTTGGATATCTGCATCATAAATTGATCACATCATGATGTGAGAATTTAATTGGGGAGTTATTATTTTGGCAAGCTAAGGGTAACTCGGCCTGCGATAATGAGAGGTGTTTAAACCTTCTGCAATGCAACCTTGAGCACCTGCAAACGTTTGATTGGCACATGCCGGTACATACACATGAAACATTGAATAAGACAATGTTGTCTATTGCAATGCTATTTTAATGTCATAGTTAGAGTCCATATTGGCAGTTTATTGGATTCGACAGAGGGAAATAAACTCACCTATCGACATTTCAAGTGGATAAAAAGTATCAGTGGTAATCGGTTTGGATAATTAAATAATTATGATAACCGGGAAGTAGGCAAGGGTTTGAGTAAGTCGTGGGTGAAAATAGTGTTGGGAAAGTTCAAGTGATGTAGAGAGGAATCAAGGTCGTGTGAAGAGTCTTATAGACTTGGCTCATTTTTCCGGTTAATTATTAAGTTGGAGAGCTTTCTGTAGCTTTCTCACGTAACAACTGACTTTTTTCTCTGGTTCTTTTTTTTTTCTTTTTTTATTATTATTATTATTTTTCAACTGGTACTTGCAACATTGATCCATGTCGATTACACACGACGAAGGATTCGACGAGAGTGTCGTCGCGAGGGAGGACAACGTCCTTCGATTGCAATTGGCTCTACCTGTCATACGTAATGAGTCGTTGTTACCACCCTCACCTGGACACCTACCTGGATGCAGTCCAAGTTACTTCACCTGCAGTTCACCTTTTCCATTCAGAGAGGAAAAGCTCGTCGATGATAAGCTCCTGCACGAGAACGAGATACAGGTATTGCCCTATCGATTACCCAGTGCGATTATCTGTACGGATTAATTGATAATTGCTAATTATTCATTAACTGATATCTTAATTATTCCATTTAATTCAATCTATTCACTTGATGTTAGAAATTTTTTTCTTTCCTTTGTGTTACATCTGTGCCAGTCTTCAACATCTCCTAAGGAACTTTAATTCTAATAATATAATGTATGATAATTTAGTTATTTAATTCATTAATTTTATTTTGTATTATTATTTATTAAATCGTTATTAATATTGTACGGTTTCAATTTAATGAAGCGTTCGTTAATGGATAATTAACGAATTTAGTTGATTTATTTTGCACGATCTGGGAATTTACAAGGCTAAATTAATTTTCTGCACAGGACTGAATTTATGTTCTGGTATTGCATTCAAGTTATTTAATTAAAATATTTATACATTGATAATGTACGTGTAATCTTTCAGTGTTTTTTTTTATATTGTTTTTTAAATATTGATTCCCTGAGTAAATAATAATGATCAATAATTTAATTCCAAAGTTGAGAGAGATGAGAGATGAGAGATTAATTAATTGAACACTTCCATGAGTTTTTCCAAATATACCTGGAAGCAGTGGAGATAACAAATTTTTTGTAATTACATTTTTCACAGTTAAATTTCATTGCCTATTTACTATGTATTTATTTACCGCCAGTAAATATATATAACTCCCACGTAAAACATACTAATGCTAAATGAATTTTTTCATAATTATAGTTGATATAGAAGATGAAAAATAAAAATAAAAAAAAATCTCAGTGTAAAATCCTTGAGATCGTGTAGAAAATTGAATTTCGAGGCACGAAGAACGTGAATTTAATGAAGTCGAGTTGTTTTTTAATTGATTATTTACCAAGTGAAGGTTGAGTGATGAATACAGATGATGAATTTGATGTGAATCAGAAAACGCACAGCCGTCGTCCAAGTACGAGTTTTCTACCTCGAATTGTGGAACCATTGAGTCCTTCGAAATCTCAATTGAGTGATTTTGTTCGTTCCATCGGAACACCGGACGTATCCCTCGCATCTACTTCCGGTTCTCGTGGTTCCAGTCCTGGTCGATCGGCGACGGAAGAGGACGTCGTTGTGGGGTCACTCCGAGACGAAATGCCTCTGGATGTTGCCAAACTCGAGGCTGGCCTGGAGGCCGCTAATATTGTTGGACGGGAAATTTTGTATCAATCGGATAAAAATGGCTTCAAACGGAAGGATGACACCGGAAGTAGTCCCAGACCCAAAAAGACTTCCGTTCCGTCGGTTTTTCCTGTTGCCACAGGACTTGTTGCAGTTCGGGATGCATTCGGTGAGTTTTTATACACAGAAAGAAAAATACCGGAAAAATTACGGAACTTTCACGTATTCCTGGGGTGACCTTGGTTTTTGGGAAAAAATACTGTAAGTTCCGTAAAAATTTTCGTAGCGAGCAGCAATTTTTACCAAACTTTCAGGACAATTTTACGGTACCTCCAGTACTTTTTCCCGAAAAGCAAGGTGACCCCACGAATACGTGAAAGTTCCGTAATTTCTCCGGGATTTTTCTCTTCGTGTATATTTATTTTTCTTTACACCATATTTATTAAGAGAACAATAAATTGAAAAAAAAAAAATGAAAACTGAATGAATCGAACACTTACATATTTATAAAATATTTTTGATTGTCTTAAATCGAGTTGAGTGAAAGCAATAATTTTTGGTCGAAAATAAATAATAGTAAATCTATATTTTACCACATTTTTCTCTCAGTGCCCTTTTGTTAGAGAAACAACGAGGCGACTGCTCATAAAATGAAAAGCTTCTCCCTGTCCCCCGCAATAATATTTCCGCGATAATGTGCGGTAGTCACGCAATATATCCTGTTCAGCTCATCCCTAAATTGAATTGTGAATAAAAAATCGTACGATTGTACTCGCACGCATTTTAATGGCTTGTAAAAACTCCAGGATAAATCGCATAATCATAAAATAAGAAAAATGCGGCTCCATGGTTTCATCGATTTCCGGTAAATACCTGAAGAACATACGGAAAGCAAATAGAAGGGTATGAGAATTTCACTGTCACAACGTTTGCTGTTCAATAATTCGCGAACGCCACTGAATGTGAAAACGGATATTGTCAATGTTTGTGCAGTAATTTCCCTGCGTTTTTTAAATACTTCCCAAAAATTCCTAAACCTCTGAAAAAAAACGGAGGGAAATAACCGCATATAAATAATTATAAAATGTGAGAACGATATATTTTTATGGATCAATCCGATCAACAATTTGTGAAAAAATCATTTACCTCTTATCACATTCAATATCAAATGAATCCTTTGCTCCGAAAGCAAAAACAAATTTTTTAAATTATTCTATAATCTTTATCTTTAATTATTTTTTAATTATACGTAATAAATCTAGTATAAAAACGTTTTTTTTTTACTTTAGAACGATTTTACTTAACAGTCTATCAGTCAACTAACTGGTCAATACATAACGTATCGATTTATTCTTGTTTAAATAGAAGAAGTTGAAAATTACAAGTGGAAAAATTTTTAATAGGTAATCCATATTCCCCAATATCTTGATATTTACATGTGTTCAATATCTTTTTATTTCAATTTTCTGACTTTTAAATAAATTTTTAAAAACTCAGGTCCGAAGTTAACTCCCGCGATATCCGCCGCAAATTCACTTCCGGAAAGTCCACAACCGGAAGAGGATACGTTCAACCCTGAGGATCCATCAACACAGACGCATAAACAGAATGGAGTTGCTGGAGATGGAGACAGCGGAGAAACCGATCACGAAACACTTTTCTTCAGGTATTTCCTAAGGAATTAATTCGTCCCCCGAAATCCCTTGAAGAAACATTATTTTTTGTATAACAATAATTATATAATATATTATATTATCATGATATAATGATATTATATTCTTATCATATCATATATTATGTTATTTACATATTCGCGAAACAGAAATGAAACATCGAAAAAATTAAAAATGCCTGAATCAAGATCAATTATTTAAATGGAATAATTTAGAAAGGAAAGTTAAGGAAAGGAAACTAATGAATAGAATTAACAAATTTTCCGGTCATAATGTGATTTGCAGAAATGAAATACAAATTAAAATCCGAAAATTGATTTTCTTTTCGGATAACCAAATTCCTTTTTTTCGTTAATTGATATCCTTATCATTCCTTATCATGAAAGCAGAGATAGGTAAATGAAGTTCGCCTGAGTTGAAAATCGTAAGGCTGATTCCCTATTGGTCAACTCAAATCCGAAGTAAAAATTCAAATTCGGCGCACGGAGTGCGCAGTAGATCTCGTCATTATTAAAGTAAAGTATTAAAGGATTATATTTATTAATATTTATAATAATTAATAATTTTCTTGGTGGAGAATATTTTTCGAAATATTTTATTCCGTAAATTCTTTCCTAGGGAATTTCGGGCGAATCATCGACTGAACAATGTAAATGACAACATAAACGCAGAAATGCACAATTGATTGTTCTTACTTTTACTCCAGCAATTAGATGAGTCGCGAGGATGAGTGGCAGTTCATTTTTTTCGTCACGCGATTTCCTCACGATTTTGTGGCATCGTGTGTAATACGATAATCTAGACAGCCATGATTCATTGATAATTTTTGTTTTTGGGGTGTCCATCGGGTTATCTGCTCCCAGGGCGCCGAACGAGTCTGACTTGTGATTTTTCACCTGAAAATAGAAAATGGAAATTAATAATAGGGATTTGTAAGAGGGTGGCTTCTAAAAATATCAGGAATTAATAATTGAGGCAATCATGTTTATTCGTCTAACTAGAGCGAGGGCAACCTGGGGGCAATCTGTGAAAATCTAGTTCTGAATTGGCTCATCGATAATGCATCACCACTGGGACTTGAGGATTTCAACAATTTCTCATTTATTTTGTTTTTTCGTCATTACTCCAGGGACGGGCGAAGGCGTATTGACATGGTTCTGGTTTACCAGGAGGAGACAGAAGGAGTTATGACGGAAATAGAATCGAAACGTAGGGAGCAGAGGAGAATTTTTCAAGAGAATCTGCTCAAAGAGGGGCTGCAGATGGAGTTGGAGCCCAAGGAGAATTCATTCGATGGAAAAACATTTTTCCTCAAGATTCACATACCCTGGAAAATTAAAGTCCAGTACGCCGAAGTTATGAACTTGAAATTATTGACTAAAAGATTCATAACAATAAGTGTTAAGGCGTGGGTAAGAATCAGGTCAATAACACCTAATTAGCTCAATCATTTGTTTGTATTTTTTTAATTATTCAGACAAAGATTGACAATGTGCTTGTCATTTATTTATGTTTTTTCTCAGTGCTGCTTTTCTGAATAAATCTCAATAGAATTAATTACTGAAGTGATGACAAGAGATTAATTAATTAAACTCCTCCAGTTTTTCGAAGATATCCCTAGAAACAATAAACATAACAAAATATTTGCATTAAAAGATCTGTTTTAGTTCTCTAGATATTCCTAAAATCGTGAAGATCTTGAGACAAAAATTCAACAATTCATGCAATTCATTTCTCAATAGACAAAAAAGGAAATATCGAAGTCTGATTTATTAACATACAATTTATTTTCATTGCTGTGATTACGATTATACTTTAAACACTCAAGAACGTGAAATGAAAGAGTTATTTTTAAAGGGAGACGATGCGACGAAAATAAAGAAAAAATTCTGGGAGAAATGGTCGAATTTCCTGAGCTTCCTCCAGAGATTTCACATGTGGGACACAAGTCTCTACCCAGAAGAGCCGAATTTTTACGCAACTCACGATTCCGGTGACAGAGAGGAAAGGTAAACCCTTTAAATAAATGAATAAAAATCCACAAATGACGAGTCCCTCGTTAATTCCCGTTACCGGTAATTGAACAAAGGCCCAAGGCCAAAACTAATTTGTAGAATTTATTCCAAGACTTCAATAGTGACCTTTACCCTCTATAGACAGTTATGAATAATCCATTGGGGTTCTCCCAATTATTTATAAATACGAGTGGTTTTAGTACAGACTGAGCTGACAGTTTCTGAACGGTTGCGCCCCAATCTATGAATACTGCACATCAGGTGTGTACTTCATCGATCAAATACTACCGTTTTTTTTGCCCCTCAGATTTCTTGTGAAGGACAGGGAAACGGCGTATACACCAGCCCAGAGGTCTCTAATCGTTTACCAAATTTTAATGAGAGCGAGGTACGACGAAACACATGAGAAAGCAGGAATCAGACGTTTGATAGCCGATGGAACTTACATCGACTGCTTCTGCCTCCACGAGGGGCCCTACAATCGTCCAGGCCCCGACGGAGTACCCCTCGATCGACATTTACTCTATTTGATCTGGGCCCGACCCTCTCAATGGTGAGGGGCACTTTAAAAATAGAAATTTCATTAAAATATTTAAATTCTATCGATCCCACGACATGTGGATGGTGAAACAATTCATTCCAGGCATTCCGCTATAAATTCATAATTCAAATGAATATCAAATGAATTTCAAAAGTTTTCTGAGAAGTTTTCGAGGGTATCCCTGAGGGAGGCTTACCCTTACTTACCCTTTTCCTCTTGGCATACATACAGAGATTTTGAGGTGTCAAATTTTTCTTTGCAGGTACAAAAAGCAGCCACTCTGGCTGATACGTCGTTACTTCGGTGAAAAAGTAGCTCTGTATTACGCCTGGTTGGGGTTTTACACTCGATCCCTTTATCTCCCAGCAATAGTGGGTCTTCTGTGCTTTGTGTATGGTCTGAGCACGATGGAGAGCACCGACAACATCCCCAGCAAAGAAATCTGCGATCCAGAGGGTCCTGGGAACATCACCCTCTGTCCCCTCTGCGATAAAGCCTGTGATTACAGAAAACTCAAAGAGTCCTGCCTGTTCTCACGTCTGACTTATCTCTTTGACAATCCAGCCACCGTCTTCTTCGCCATCTTCATGTCCTTCTGGGCGACGAGTTTTCTGGAGCTCTGGAAGAGGAGGCAAGCGGTGATCGTGTGGGAATGGGACTTGCAGAATGTCGATGGGGATGAGGAGCCCAGGCCCGAGTTTGAAACATCTGTCAAGACATTTAGAATAAATCCAGTGACCAGGGAGAGAGAGCCCTACATGCCAGCCTACTCCAGGGCCTGGAGATACTGCGTCACGGGTTCCCTCGTCTTCTTCATGATATGCGTCGTTCTCGGTGCTGTTCTAGGAACAATAATCTACAGAATTAGTCTCGTTGCAGTTGTACATTCTGGGGGTGGATCCCTCCTTCAGAGACACGCCAAGATATTCACTTCAATGACAGCTGCCCTCATCAATTTGATAATCATTATGATTCTGACTAGGATCTATCAGAAGCTGGCCAAGTGGATGGTGAACATGGAGAATCCCAGGACTCAAACGGAGTACGAGGACTCGTTTACATTCAAAATTTTCTTCTTCGAATTCGTCAACTTCTACTCCTCCCTCATCTACATCGCCTTCTTCAAGGGCAGATTCTACGTGCATCCTGGTGACGCCGATGCGAGATCCTCGGAGTTCTTCAGAATTAAAACAGATGTGTGTGATCCAGCTGGATGCCTCTCAGAGCTGTGCATCCAGCTTGCCATAATAATGGTGGGTAAGCAGTGCTTCAATAATTTCATGGAGATACTCTCCCCCAAAATGGTAAACTGGTGGAGAAAGAGGACTCACGTGGCGGCCACCAAGGATCACGAGAGACCCTACACCTACTGGGAGCAGGATTATCAATTGCAGGATCCTGGAAGATTAGCCCTCTTCGATGAATACCTGGAGATGATCCTGCAGTACGGATTCGTAACACTCTTCGTTGCTGCTTTTCCCCTGGCGCCGCTCTTCGCTCTTTTGAATAACATCGGAGAAATTCGGCTTGATGCTTACAAAATGGTGAAGGAAGCCAGAAGGCCCCTCGCCGAGAGGGTCGAGGACATCGGGGCCTGGTACGGAATTCTCAAGGGTGTCACTTATGCTGCTGTTGTATCCAACGCCTTTGTCATCGCTTACACTTCTGATTTCATTCCCAGGAGTGTTTATGCATATGTTTACTCAAAAACTAATGACCTACAGGGCTACATTGACAGCTCTCTGTCGGACTTCAATACATCTCATTACAGTGAGGACATGATCGGCAATAGAAATGGACCGCCAATCTGTCAGTACAGAGGATACAGAAATGGTCCTGCTCACAGTGATCCTTATGGATTGAGTCCTCAATATTGGCATGTGTTTGCATCGAGACTGGCCTTCGTCGTCTGCTTCGAGCACATGGTATTTGCCCTGACTGGTCTCATGAGTTATGTCATTCCTGAGACACCTTCTGCTGTTTCCACTCAGCTATCCAGGGAGAAACTTCTCGCCCAGGAGGCCAAGTACGAGAAGGGTGTCAAGGGGAGGGAGGATGAGGATGAACTACTGTCTGTTCTCAGGGAGGCTGGAAACTTTGGAAGACCTGGAGCACGACGTGGAAGCTGGGCCAGGAGATTCTCCAAGCTCAGTGACACTCTTGATGCACATATTGATGTGGGGGTCAGGCAGCAGAGGGCTAGTGATGCCTCTACACTCTGGGAGGCATCTACCCACGTATCTTGAATCTGATGACCATTCCAAGGATGTCGAGCTGCCAAAGTATTTTAGGGGAGTGATACCTGTTGTTTAAGACTGCTATGGATCGATGGGGATTTTAATTTGTCGTGGGGAAGAGGTCGAGGTGGAGATTGCCTTCCTGGTGGAGTGGAGATGACGATCCCTGTACAAATAGATTTGTTGTAAATTTATTTTTTAGTTCATCGTAAGTTGAATGAATTTTTTAGGTGATTAATGATAATGACTGATGAGAGACACTCGAAAACACCTCCAGCATTGATTCTTATTATTACCACTGATGCATTTAATTGTCTGTACATGAATTGTTTTTTTGACGATCAACTGAGATTGAGGTGTAAATTATAGGAGATTATTCGTGTGAATTGTGTGTGCTAGGAATTGTAATTTTATGAATGAATTGTCAGCAACTCGTTATATGATACACGACGAACTTTTATTATGGTTTTCTTTTTCACTTTGATTGCGGTAGACAATTATGAAATTCATTGGATTATACAATATTTACAATAAATTATGGAATTTACATATTTATGATTTTATCCTTTGAGTGATTTTTAAAATAGACTGACTAGATCATATATTCGTTAATACTTACGCGACAGGACAGTGGTAATAGAGAAATAATTGTTTCAACACATGAGTACTGTACGATATCATTTTTTGTTTGTTTTATTTTCTCATTACTTCCTCCAATTTCAATTATGCATGACTGCTCTTCGTATCGACAATTATTACAATGAAAACTAATTCGATATTATTATATTCAATAATATGGTACATTTACATAACCATTCATCTCTCTACGATTGATTTCCCTTATTCCACTTATAGTGGATAATTAATTTCTGTTTGTAAATTTTATGGTCGTTATTTTTAAACTTCATTTTTCATCAACATCCACAGAACAATCGACACATCAATCTCGTCCATCCATCACTCAACATTGATTACGTACTAAGAACGTCTAGTTTACAGTAACATACATACCCATTCAAAATTGTGTATCACAGTTTTATTGGGGACAGGGACTTGCATGAATTTATTTGGAACTCATGATCTCCAGAAATGAAATTTCGTATTTTCAAGATGAAATAACATTTACGACGGATCATATTGTTTTTGGCTAATATCATGGAATTTTCAACTGTTCAGAATCCAATTCACCATTCCAATCTGCATTTCCTCATATACAAATTGTTTTTTATTATCGTTAATCGAATAATTAAAATTTTTCTCTTGACTTTGTTCAATAAAATATAGTACGTTCATCTTCATTACTTTCGAATATCATTCTGGCTTATTTATGCATTTGAAATGTGTGCCATTCGTATTTACCATTTAAAATTATTTTTATGTTTTTGTCTGTGGATAGGGACATTGTTCTACTTAAAATTATCGCCTACAACTTTTACCGGTTCATTGCTTATTTTCCACTCGGGTTTTTCTCGGAAAAAATTTCTAAAAATATATTGTACAAGTTGCAACAGTCAAAACAAACATGATCATTCTTCTAGAAAATCATAAAATCAAACAGACTAAACAAACCGAAATTATAGTCTCAAGGTTTTTTTCTTTTTTTGGAAATTATGTGACATTTCGTTTGTTCGCGGTGTATTCGTCGGAATGTAAGCCTTCGTATCATTTACTACTGGATGTTAGAACTAAAATATCTCATTCTCGATTCATGGAAGATTCTCATTGTGCGCTGGTTATCAACATGTATATCTGAATATTTGCTTTTCCTCCACGTTAAACAAAATCCTATGTACACCTTACAATTATTTATATCATACAGATGGAGGAAAGTGGTATACAAATTGTTGCATTTCCCTACACTACTTGGCTCCTGATTTCCCTCAATTATCATTAGTGTATCATTATTTATATTTTCAAAAAAATGGAGAATCACGTATAAAAAAATTCTATGAAATTCTATTAGAATTCTGTTAGACATTTTAGAAGAAAAATCAACAGATCCTGAACTTCTACCTGGAATTTTCCATTGACATTGGGCTTAGAAAATTATTGCACAAATTTCTCAAGTTTTTCTTCACGTGGATTCTGCTCAATAATTTTCAAAGAAATAGCAAAAATAGAAAAAATGTCAATAAAAAGATTCAAATAAAAATACCAGAATTTTATTATAGAATTCCCGTAGAAATTGTATAGAAATCCGAATAGAATTTTTATAGACGTGTTTTCATGATGTATTATGATTGATAACAAGTGGAACCTTAACTGGGTCCAGATGGTGGATTAAAATTGAACATTGTCGTTGGGGGACGTCCTGTCAATGGTTTGGGGGGTAATCTGGGTGTAACAGAGCCATTGGGCTGGCTTGGAGGAAGCATTGTGGGACTAGGTCCATTGAAAGACATGTACCTCTTGGTATGACCAGCGGTCGAGCTAGTCCCCTCAAGATTTGAATTTCTCCTCGCCAAAAGGGCTGACGTGCTTGGATTGAGAGTGCTGGGTAGCCTCGGTGGTAACATCACTGGTGGAACGTCCCTTCTGGGTGGCAGTGGAGGTGGTGAAGAGGCTCCTTCTCTCGGTGGAAGCATTGGAGCATTAGGAGCTTGTCTCGCCTGATGTGGAGACTCACTGATAGAACTCTCTCGTCTTCTGTGATGCCTTGGAGGCAGTGGAGGCGGTGGTTTGCTGGGTGATGCATGACTTGGTGATGGTGGAGGTGGAAGAGGTGCCCCAGGGCTACCAGAGGACGAAGAAAGGCCGGTAGGGGCACCCATAACCCCAATTGTCCCAGAATTGAAGCCAAAGTGTGTGCCCTGAGGCTGTTGATGATACGAGGGCAAGTGGCCAGGTGATCCCAATTGAGGACTATTTCCAGGCGATCCCAGGGACAGTGCAGACATGCTGAGGGGACCTGGAGAACCCGGAGGAGGGCCGGAACCACTTCCAAGGAGGACCGGAGCAAAAACACTGTGATCCCCAACGTGTGTGAAACTCTGGATTGTGTGTGGACTTTCTGGCAATTCTGGTGGTACTTCAGGCGTCGGATCGTGCAATCTCACACTCGATGCCACTGCTTGCAGGGGTTGTGGAACTTTTCCACTCATTGATCTTGGCTTGAGCCCGGGGGACTTGAGATTCAAGTCTGGCCATTTCCTGGGGGCTCGCAGGGGCTGTCTGCAACCCCTTGGCTCCAGCTCGAGGCTTTTCTCGTACAAGTAAGTACTTATGTCTGCCTCACTCATACTCGAGTCGAAGGGGCACAGATTCTCGATGAAGTGTCGAATTCTCGTCTCCACTGACAGACAATATGGCTGATTCTGGTACTGCTGAATTTCACCAGTTATCTCAGCGACTTTTCTTCGTTTACTGAAGTTTATCAACTCTGGACTGTTGGGGAGATAATCAGAATTGCCTGTCTCAATGTGAAGGATATTTGTCAGGTACATTCCGAAGAAGGGGACACACGGGGGATTTATTGAGCGAAGTTTCTCCTGGTACTTGCGGAAGTGATCGCTATTCAATTCTCGTGCCTCTTCCAGGACCTTCGCTTGACGCTCAGAGAGACGTTGAAACGTGTGCTTCAGGCGAAATACTGCTGCTGAACCCATTGCAGAGACTATCGCCAGGACTCCATTGAAATTATTAAGCTCCTGCAGCACCATCATCACTTCAACTGCTCGAGCAACAATTGCTGCACGCTCCTCAATATTTTCAGTTTCCAAAATTGTTTTTTCCAACCATCTTGTGAAGTTTGTCGTGTGCTTTATCATCCTCAAGAGGTTCGGAGAGTTCTTGTCCTTGTCTTTCTTCGTCCAGGCTTCACCAACTAATTCCGATGATTTTACTGTTCTGTACAGCTCGAATTCCAGGAGAGTTAGTTGTCTTGCTAATTCTATCGGATGAAGTGTGAGTATTCCCCACTCCTCCTCGGGGACTCTCAGGTGCCACTCGATTGGTGGTGGTGATTTCTCAAAACTGAAGGTGATCGGCCTCTGCTCAGAGGGCTCACACTTTCTCTGGACTATTTTAATTACAGAATCCACCCACTTCCTCATGGATTTACCACTTATTGTGTCGAGAAACTGTTGAAGTCTCTCTAAAAGATTTCTATCTCTCTCGAAGTCGTAAAAATGATGGTCTACCCAATGCCTCAGGACATTGAGAACTCGAAATTGCACGGGTTGACAAAATTCCTTTCTGTATCTCTTCCAGTCTTCTCTAGCCGTGGCTTTGCACCCCGTGGGCTTCTCCTCATCGCCGTAAACCAGCGATGGATCCGGGATATCGAATCTCTCGATGAGAAGAATCAGCAGCTCCTGGGGTGAGCAAAAACTCCTGTGAAACAAAAAGAACTCGAGAATTTGAATTATCTCATAACCATTTCGATATCAAAGTTTAATTGATTCTATTTTTTTTTCCATTATTTTCCAAGAGTTTCTATTTTTTTCAAGTGTTTTTAATCAATGACCCCTTAAATTAAACTATAGAAAAAGTCAACTTGTTACCCTTTACCTTTTGTTATCAGAATAAATCAATAATGCATTGAAGCGATTAAAATTACGTTTCAACTGACCTATAAGTAGTGAGGAATGTCCGTACAAACGCCGGATCGGCATAAATGTGATAAGTGAGTCTCTCCACTAATTTAACTAACGTTGCACCCTTGATGAGAGGCACACCTCCATTTTCCCTAGCCTCGAGGACAACATTCTCCGGAGAATCTTGCTCAGCGAATTTGTACAATTCCGGAGGAGGTAACCTGAGAGGATGTTTCCTCTCCTCATCCAGAAGAATACTATCGAGAGTTCTCTCAAGCATGCTCTTGGTATTGAGCATAACGAGATCAGCCATCCAGCTGTTCTTGTCCTCGACGGATTTAGCGACAAGAGTGACGTTTGGATGATCCCTGGGTGCAATTTCAAAGGCATTCTTGAGCTCGTCAGTGTCCTCGCGATCAATTATATCAACTTTTCTTATGAAAAATCGCTCCTTGAGTCGAAGCTCAACAGGATGAGCCTGCCCACCACCAACACCCACTGCAGCAACTGAAACACTGACTCTTTTACCCCCAGAGGGTTTACAAAGTACCAACAATCCATCAAAAAGCAAAGCCCTCCTCTCAGTCAAACGCCTCCCATTGCTCCCGACCTTTCCCAACATATCCTCACGTATAAATTCATTGCAGCACTGTCCAATGTCCCTCTGATCCCATCCATCAACTGTTTTCTGTAGTTCACTAGTTTTTTCCAGTGCTGCATGCCTCCTTGCACGACTCTGCATCCTCAGCCCTGTATCTTTCTTCGGTAAACTCGCAACAGACTGGACTAATTCCATTTGCAATGGCCTCAGAAGACCCTGCACCTGCTCTAAGGTTTCCTCATCCTCGATGTTGGGTGTTCTCTTCTGTAATACTTTAATGTAATCAAAGTACAAAAAACAATGCCACACTGGTTGCAACAGTAGCTTTGGCAGGTAATATTTGACAGCTTCTTTGAAGCCGTGACCTGCAGCTCTGAGGGCAGCATTTGCCTCAGGTCTTGACAGTAATCTCGTGAGAATTTCTCGACTACCTGGACTATTCATGTCACGAGCGTATTTAATATAAACGTCAAATTCAGCTGCCTCTGCCAGCTCCTCGAAGCACGAGCCAACAGTTGGTATTTGCTTCTCCTCGGTTATCTCCATTATGTCCTCTAAACTGCCTAGAAGTGTCACTGTCACTTCGTAAATATCCATTATATTGCTAAAGAGAGTCTCAAGCTCGGTTTTGTCCTGAGCGAGTTTTGCTATTTCTTCTCGGAATACTTTAATTATCATATGGAGATCACGCAGGTAGTGGCGCTCGTCGTGGATGAGATCGCGCACTGACTCCTCGTATGTCTGGGAGACAACTGCACCCAGACTACTCTGGGGCCCCTCTGTTGCATCGTCCTGGTAGAACATGTCCATCAACACCTGTTGGGACAAGGCAAATCAAATAATTATCAACTACATTTTTTTCTGTCTTCACATTGCACTCGTATTTTGCCTATTTTTATTAAGAAATGATCTACGCCCTTGATGCAGTGATGAGTCCCTCTCTTTTTTGTGATGATGATTGCTCATGGTTTAATTGGATTAATGTATTACTGATGATTTGGTAGGCGATGAAATCAGTAGCGAAGTGGTAGAAATAGATAAGTTAACTTGGCTATGAGTTTTTGAAAATATCTCCGATATTGAGAGAGATAATGCGATTTTCGTAATAACCTTTTTTGTAACTCTTAATTAACTCTATAAAAAAGATTATATCAAATATTTGATTAACTCTCGTTGTTTTGGAGATATCTTCGAAAAATTCATCGTAATGTGAAGTCATTTATCTCTTTTCACAATTTCACAACAGAAATAATGATTATGAAATTTGGACGAACGCAAGTACATACCACCTGCAACGGCACGAAGAACGAGCATGGGTTGGTGTTGTTATATGTTAGTGGAAAGCATGTAATCAAGCAGAGAACATATGCAGCCACCAATTAGCACGTTAATACTATTGTTCTAGCATTTAACCGATTGGGATAATTCCTCATTGTTTTATTGATAAAATATAAATATCTATTTATTCTCGTTCATTTCTGAATTGCCTAGATAAAAGCCATGATTTGCGTTAACCAATTTAGACAATAACTTCACTACGAGTTATCAGTGTTCATTGGTTCTCCATTATCGAGTTCCATAAATGTGCGGCGATTTGAAAAAAAAAGGCAAGCTAAAACCATATTGTAGTTAAAAATTATTGTATTATATGGAAACTCAAACTCATTTACCATATCTGCGTACATGGCCACTCTGATGTCCTCGCAGGAAATTTCAACGTGTCGAATGTTTTTAACATAATTTCCAGCCAACTGAAAGCAATAGAACAATTTGTGAATTCATGAAGCTGCAGTTTTTACTCGAGTATGGATAATGTATTGGATAATGTTATTACCTTTAAAATATCTGCTGAAATATATTCGAGCACCCCAACGACGAAGAGACTAACTTGTGAGTCGATTTTGTGTTGCAGAACCTCCTGGAGCATGAGAAAAAAAAATAGACGAGGATTTCAGGAAATTCAAATAAACGATTTGGTATTTGCAAAAGTAAAAAAGGATATAGTACTTCTTGATTTTGGGAAAATTGTTCAAATGAATCCAACCCATTCAACATTCTTGGAATTACATTTGAAGAAGGAGCAAGCACCTTTTGTCAACTCGGGGTTGGTGGTCGGAATATTTGTTTTCTCACCTTCTGGAGCAATTGGTGGATTTTATCAACTGGCAGAACCAGAGGTGATTTTTTCTTCCCCTTTTCGAGTGCATCCCTGGCATCTCTGAGTGCCCACCTGTCGATTGGCGTTGGAAATGTCCTCCTGACCCTCTCTTCAACATCCTGAGGTGTATGAGGTGGTGGATGACCACACAGCATGCCAAGCATCCTCAGAATGAGGCTCTCCACGTAATCGAGGGCATCCTGACGGGCTTCTAGACTCGGGTGCACCTGTTCAAGGACCTGAAATTTCCAATTGATCCATGGAAATAGTTATCGAACACCACGAATGACAAAACAACAATAAATCACTGATAAAAGTGGATACCGATTGTGACAAGACATTTATTACAGACATTTGAGAGAATTGATCGAATTGATTCGACACTTACTGTGGAGAATACTAAATTATCATCTGGGTTTCTAACCTTTCTCAGGGAATTGACAAAGACTCCCTTCCATTTGGCAGCATTCTCCTCTTTTTGAAAGTCGTAGCCTGACGGCTCGCCCACTACAGATGCCGGAGACGAAAACATATCCACAAAAACAAATAGAGTAAAGAAAAAAAAATAAAAAAAAAAGAGGAAGAAGAAAATTCACTAAATGTGCAACATTTATCAGTGTTTGTGAGCAATTGCTCTCAGAAAAATGTCCGTCCACAGGGCTGACGGTACGTCTCGTGGAGCTTTATGATAGTGACAATATCATCAACTAGCATTGTCGTTGAATCTATTTTATTCGATAATTAAGTTAATAATCACTGGTGCTGATATTAGTGGACATTTTTTTGTCCTACTCTGACGCTTAACTGACCCAATGGAGATGACGGATTGTCTTTCATCTTCGTTGGAAATATATTTCAACGTCTTTTTTTTCCTTCCACTGATGAAAATTACTTGGAAGGTATTGGATCAATTATCTCATTATTTACAAATGATTGAATTGTGGGAGTCTCGTTGGTACTTTTATATCTGGATCTGGATATTTATTGTTCGTTTCGTTGGAATTTGGGGATGAGTGTTGATATCACGATTTTACGTGAATTTTTCTTGATTTCACCCTCGTTCATGTACCACCGTGCACGTACACAAACCGATAAACGAGCAATACTTGGGTTCGCACATCTTACGACGCAAACGTGTTATTGTGTTACTATTATTTTCCCCACTATTTTTCTATTTGTCCTCCGGTTTTCCCTCGACTCTTTCACATTTTCCAGTGGGTGTACACAAACAGTCAGTACGAGTTATTTCATTTGTTAATATTTGCATCTTCTTCTTCTTTTTTTCACTATGATTCGCACACACTTGGAACACTGTCTTTGGACCCGTTGCAATCTTCTGTCTCGCTCTCACTCGGGCTCGACGATATGTTTTTTTCTAAAAGATTTTTTTTATTGCTCGTGTTGACTGAATTCCCTTGGCTTTCGGGGATGGTGCTGCTGCACTCAGCGAGTCCTGCGAGGTGACGATGTCAGGAGGTATTTTCTCATACAGAATCACCACCTTTGGAAGTTTCCTCATCAGCTGAGGGTAAAGTGCCGGCTGTTCCTTAAGAAGTCATTACCAATATCTTTTTTTTTTTCATTTTTTTTAATTTCAGGAAAACTGTCTATCACATTAACGTGAAAAAAATATAAATTTAGGTTTTATGTATGTCTATTCATATGTACGAAATTTCTGTATTTGAATATATAATGATAATTAAAAACAATAGTTTTTTTTACGTCAATTCCATGATAGGTTTGCATGAAAATATTTAAAAAAACATGATTTTTGGCTAAAAAATCGTTCATCTTTGAATCCAATTCTTTGCAGTAGTAATTAATAGTTGGAAAACAATGAAAACACTAATAGTTACTTCCAAAAATTATTGTAATTATTTCTATTTGAATGGAAAGGAATAAATACATGATAAAAAAAAAGAACGAAATAACGATTGTCATACGATCGTATAGATTAAAATCAGCTGTGATCTGTAAATGAATAGTCTTATGGAGAAACTGATATTCAACGAAACAATGAAATTTTAAAAATCAGTATCTGTAAACAAATGAGAATTTCTTCATTAGTTAAAGGTAAACTGCCGACTGATGTCCACCGACTGTTGGCCTGACTCGTTATAGCGACCATAATTTTTTAAAATTCAACTGACTCTTCCCCACATTCCAATTTTCCATGAACCACTCGTTGATCCATACACTCAAATAGACAATAAACCTCTCGACAATCAGGCGATATCAAACTGAAAAATCTGTATCAAACCTCAAACGATAAACCAAGATAACTCTCACTTACATTTCTTAACAATTCATTATTTCTTTGATCTCCTATTTCGAGCTCCATCCCTCCACCTCAAACCTTTTCACCGCCAATAAAATCCCCTGAACAAAATCTGTCTTCTCATTTCCTCTAAAAATCAATCAATATTCCCCAAAATCCAAGAATCAGCCTGTCACGAATTTTCTTCCACTTTCGCACAAGAATCATCGAACCAAAAAATGTCCACCTAAAATCAAAAACAGTTAATTTTTGACCTGTTAATAAACTCTTTTGCAACATACCTTACGTGAAAACCTTCATTGCAGCAATGACATTTGAAATGACTCATACCGTACCAAAAAGAAAAATCGCGCAGCGATCGATAGTGCGTCGGGAATTGAAAAAGCACGTGTCGTAGTACAATTGAAATATCGTAAAAAAATAATAATAATAAACAAAATACATAGGTTGACTACCGGACTGGTACAGGGCGTTACACGAGAGTCATTCTCTCCCCCTGGATTTTAGTATGACAGCTGTGCAAGTTGAATACAACGGAATAGATTCGGGATAATTCGCGTCGTGAAGTGACGACCGGCGTCGCACATGCGCGTCTCTTCGACTCGAGCTCGTCGGGTCGACCGATTTCGATTTTAGTCATTCCCGGGTTCGGCGAGGTATAATCGTTCCACGATACACACCAATAAAACATTCAGCTTGACTATTCCATCAGTGGCTAACTCCAATAATTTTATCGTCACTCTGGGTAATAAGTTCTACGAACGATCGGAGTCAATCACTAACGTAAGTTGAGGGTAATTTTTCCTTGTTTTCTTGTTTGCCTGACGATTCGCAACAGAGAGATCTACAGTTGCGCATTTTTATATCACTTTTCTTCGTTTTTTTTTTTCACTTTTCGTGGACCTTGCGAGACCTCAGTGGACTTGGACGGTCGATATAACCCGCAGCGTCCTCTCCATCACTCCATTATTCGAGGAAATATGTATTTTTTTATGAATATAATATTCCTGTTTTTTGTTTATTTGATTATTCAACCGATCCTGTTTTTTCTTTTTAGATAAACTGGAAAAAAAATCCAATATGCAGGGGGTAGTCCTTTGGCTGCGATCGGCAGAGGCTCTACTCTTAATTTTGTTATTCATCTCAGAAATTGTTGGGAATTATTCCACACGGGAAATATTAAACCGCGATAATTAGTCGAGTCCTGATAATTCTGAGAAACTGATTGATTAAATTCCGATGACATTGTCTCGGTCAATTCCTCTTAATTTATTGTTTCAGAAATACTAGTGTCGTTTATGTTTTAATGCTGGAATTAATAATCGCTAAATTTATGCCACTTGCAATATATTATCGTGGTTGACTTTTAGCACGTGGATACATAAATATTTCCGTGAAGCTCTTTAATTTGGAGAAGGGAACTGAGTTACCGATAGTTTTCAGCGGGAGTCTCGAGAGCTTTTGAAACGTTTGGTTGTGGAGGGATGAGGGGTAATAAAACGCTTTGGATTCAGAGGAATTTCGCGAAATCGTGGGAATCTAGAAGAGATATCGAAATTACTCTTAGGACTTTTTTTCAGCTCCCATTCTGCTCTTCGAAAAAGGCCCTCAGCATCATTTCGATATCTCTTTTGGATTAAGAGGTATTCCTCGAAATGTCGACGTGAAAATAATTCAGGATGTAATAGATAAAGTTTTTCAGGGATATCTTTGAATTTGAAAGAGATAGCGAAATGTTGTAGAGACTTTTTTTGTAGCCCTCATTTCACACTACAAAAAAGGTTCTGAAGATGATTTCGATATCTTTCTTATTTTTAAAGATAGTCAAACTAATAGTGAACAAACCGATTTTTTGGCATTTACCAATTTCTGAGTGCATTAAATTCTTTCATTACATTATATATAATTGAGGGATTATTAACTAATTACTTATAAGACGAATCCTGCAGGTGAAAAATCCCATATCGATGAAAATTAGGAGAGATCGCCAATGTTTCAGGGGCAGCGGAGGAATTGGCGAGAATCTGGAGACACTAAGACCGATAATGAAGCAGGAACCTGATGAGGAAGACGAGTACTATTCGGAGGAGGCGAAATCTGTGGCCCAGGGAAACGCGACGAGACGGAGATCGCATGCCAGAAGCCTCCGGGCGATGGCCAATCCCAGTGCGGTTTGGGGACATTTTGATCTGTGCATTAATGATCCTTTGAGGGCACAATGTCGTCTTTGTGGATCTGTTGTCGTCAGAGGTGGAGCTAACCCCAGACAATGTGGTACCACTAATCTTCACCGGCACTTAAGAGTTCATCATGGAGGAAGACTCATTGGAAGGCGATACCACGGTAATTTATCCAACAGCAAAGTTTCCACCTTCCAGTTATCGACTTATCTCCAAAACTATCGATATTCTGCGAAAACAGTAAATGAATTTTTTGTACCTGATTCAATTTTCGATATACATGGTCTTTTCACATTTCTTCCTAAAGTCAATAGTTTCTGAGATCAATCGGTATTCAATTAAAGTATCATTAAACACTAAGTGGTAAAGCGTAACGACTCGATTTACATAAAGCGTAAGTTCTCGAGGAATATCTCCGAATGTAAGAGAGATACCCAAAATTTCATAAATACCTTTTTCGTAGCTCTCATTTCACTCTCCAAAAAAGTCCCGAGGCTAATTTCGTTATCTATCATAGATTCAGAGGTAATCCTCGTTTAAACTACAAAACGAGTTATTCTCTACTTTTTTCCTCCTGAATTGATATGTCATCATGAAGATTCCCAGTCGATTGATTGAAAAATCGAAATCAGTGTGAGATTAAAGTATTTTCAAGTAAAAGGGAAACTCGAAAAAGTTGAAATGATGAGAAGAGAATATGATCGGTCGTTTGGAGTTTTCATTTATGGCGAGTTGATTGAAAAAGTATAAAAAAAAGTTGCGGAAGTCGTTGCAAATGGAAAGCTCGTGTTGAACCGGTGACAGTAAAAAATATCCGGTAGATGCGCACATTGCAATTGATCTATTTTGCACACTAGCAGCCTTCTAGCGCATGCGCAGTGGATACCGACTGGGCCAACACTAGGTACAACATCGCGTCTCCGTTTTGGCTTCTCTTCGACAATCGTTGCGAGATACATAAAGTCGGCCATTTCCCGAGTGTTGCGTTAGTTTTTCCAAATATTCATTGAGCACTTAGCAGACAGCGAAATGTCGAGTTATCAGTCTGACAGCGGTGATACGAACGAACAGCCTGGGTCCTCTGATCCTGGTGAATCCAGTGAGATCATCACAGAGAATACTCTCCTCTCAAAATCCAGGGAGAAATATCAGGCGATTTACAAGAAATTCAATAGCTGGAGGGAGACAAATAACAAGGGACCACTCTCCCAGGATGTGATGTTGGATTTTTTTATGGGACTCTCGCAGAAAATGAAACCCTCGTCCCTCTGGTCTCATTATTCAATGCTTAAACACACTATCAATAGTAATGATAAAATTGACATCAGTAGTTATAAAAAATTGAATTCGTTCCTGAGACTTCAGTCGACTGGGTACAAGAGTAAACAGACTAAAGTTTTGACACCTACTGATATTGAGAGATTTTTAAACGAAGCACCGGATAATCAGTTCCTAGCAACAAAGGTAAAATTAAAAAAAAACTGGCAATTTTCATAATTACCACCATTTTTCTTCTATTCAAAAACATACTTTTATGGAAAGTGCTTTTTTTATCAATAAAAAACTATTATTGCTAATGACACTACACTAAAAATCCTTTTATTATTTCTCCATCTAATGAATAATTAAAAAGCTTGCTTTCGGAAGCAAGAAGCAAGAAGCAATAGATAGGTTGAGTGAACTAATTGCTCCATTTTTTTCTTCGAGATTTCCAGTATTTTTTCTATTCTTGTCAGGCCTGTGCAG